TCAAAAAAGAGCCAGAGAAAAAAATCATAAACAACACTCAATGGAAACGGTCATTCAGTTTAATGAAATTCAGTTTTATTTCATTCGTCACTTGCCTTACCAGAAACTACGTCATCGTCGCAATACATAGAATGAGAAGATTTCCATCTAGTTATAATGTGATGATTGGCGAAAAAAAAAGCGTTAAAACCTTGATGTCCATGATTTCCTTCTTTACTCGATAACTAATAGAAAAACAAGACGCGTGCAGCGAAGTTTTTAGAGGTGTTCTGCGATACGCATACGTACTTCAGTAGTTGATGTACTCAGTGCTCATCAATCCTTCTATCCCTACGCCATCAGCAAATCGATACAAAAAATATTGGAGAATAAAACAAAAGCTTCTTGCCATCATTGGCTAGAATGTCGAATTCATGACATATGCATCACAAACTGGTCAATGCCATGTGTTTCGTCTTGATCGTTGGAAAAAAAAAATAATCGTATGATCAGGTCATCATGTTCTAATGCTTTTAAAGGCGTTTATGACTTTTTCATGCGTACTAAAAATCAACAAAGATTCTCGTTCACAATCTACGAAATAAATTCACAGTTACAGCTTACAGTTGATACTAAAAGAAAAAAAAAGACGAGAACAAAAAGTCTGCAGAATAGTCCATTCGTTTTCTAATTGATCAAATACTTGCATACTCTACCTTTCATACTAGTTTTGTAGAGCTGTGAGTTTTGTTACGATGGAATACTTTCAAGCTTTTGTTTTTGATAAGAAAATGTTGACATGTCAAACAATACCACTTATTCCTAGAACACCACTTACCGTAAATTTTCACATTTGTGATCTTTAATAGTAATACTTAATGAACATAATAATCTACAATTAACACAACGCCGGCCCAATGGTTGTGATGCTAGTCGTGGTGCGTGTGGAGACGAGCTCCATCCCTCAATTCTCTGCGACACTGAACAGTAACGCCCTATGGAACGCCACAGCCAGGTTGACCTTGAGATTGAAAGGAGACTCGCTTAACCAGTGATCTACTACGACATTTAAGAAGAGGACGAACAAACGAATTGAATGCTAGAAGTATTGGGATTCGCACAGTGAAAATAACATTGTGATGACGAATAAAGTGTCAAAGTGCCAAGTGTGTTCCTTCGTATCACCTGTATCACCTGTCGTCCCGTTGATCGTCGAGTGACTCGAGCGGGTACCAGCAGCACTTCCATTTTTCCCTATCGCGTACAAGAGTAGCCCAGTTGGTCCTCCTAGCTCTAGGGATCCGCTGAGCATCATATTTTTCTTCCATAGCTTTCGTAAAGAAGTCGGACCAACAGGTCGATGGTAAAGCGCTTGATGTCGCGAGGAATTCAGTCGGTAACGGCTCTCGTCCATCGGTTGTCGTTGAAGCGTATCACGTATCCGGCCCACCTTATTTTCGATATCCTGGCGTGTAGAACAGCGTCTCTGATTTTCGATCGTTGACGTAAGTCGGAACTTCGCATCCTTTCCCTCATTTGCGAGATGCGGGATACTCCTAGGATCGACCTTTCGACTGCGCGATTCATAACGCCAAGTAATCTTTCATCCTGCTTACGTAGCGACCAGGTTTCTGCTGCATACGTTAGGGCAGGGATAATCGTCGAATCGAAAAGGTAGGTACGGAGTCGGATATTCTTTGTCGTCTTCACTAAATCTTCGATACTCTTAATTGTTCCTCAAACCGCTCGGTTCTTCCTGCTCAACTCTGGAGCTAGGTCCTTCATTATGTTGATTTTACGACCTAGACAGACGTAACTGGAGCATTCGGAGATTGTTCAGCTGAGCGTGAATGGGGCATTCAAAACTTATCTGTTCCTCATGAATATCGTTTCCATTAGATTTAATTGAAGATCAGTCTTTCCACAAGCGTTATCGATTTCGGTCAACATTCGTTTCGCTTGGCTGATGCTTACTGTTATAAGGACGATATCGACAGCAAAGCGAAGACGGTTCAATATTCGACAGTCAATTTTCACTCCCATGTAGTCCCATTCTAATGTTCGCATGACGTTTTGTAGGATGGCAGTGAATGGTTTTGGCGAAATTGTATTGCCTTGTCGAACCCCTCTTCTCACGTCATTGATATTGTGGCGATATTGTTATTTTAGATAAAATATAAATATTTTGGATCATTAAATCTTTATAAAGCTCACGGAGGATCATTATCGAATAGGGACGCTCTGGTTGTCCACAGCCTTTACAACCGCTCCTGTTTCCACTGAATCAAAGGCTTTCTCTCTTCTCCGCAAAAAACCGGTATAACATAGGAACAACAGCTACATCGGTCAGGCAAAACCTTCGATTTACTAAGATGTGGTCCATTTCGTTATGGTACTCTCCATTGGGAGACTCCCACATCCATCGCTAAGAAAGAGGCTTTTGGAAATGCGAATTTCCATGGATGGTTTGGGTCGTCATGATAAATTCGGTTAGCCTCTCACCTTGTTCATTCCATTCTAGTCTGTGGGTCCCAATGTGACGCTCTTCAGACGTTCTTCTACGTCCAATTTTTGCACTAAAATCTCCGACAATGACCTTGAAGAATGTCTGATTTTCTCTGAAGAATTTTTCGAGGTCCATATAGAACCCTTCGACTTCGTCTTCGTCATAGCTTGATGTTGGTGCGTGAGCAACGAAGATGGTCAAAGCCGGCATAGAACCACATCGCTTCGAACCGTAATCGTCGATACGGGTTGTTAGTTGTTGAAACAAATCAATGTTCGCAGTCAAATTCGATTTGACGAGGACGCCAGCTCCGTCGTCACCTCTGCTATCGCATGTCCCAAGGAACAGTTCTTCTCCTGTGCCATAATAGCGTAAAAAGGATGGCGTCTTCTCGTCTCAGCCAGGCCAATGACGTTGTACCTTATCCTTCTTGCTTGAATCAATAGATCATCTACAGCGGATTCGTGAGCAAAGGTTCTTGCATTGTAGGTGTAGATGGTCATTTTACTCCGTTTCAATCTTGGCAGCCTAGTTTGGTCCTGAGATTTTAGCAGCCTCTCTGTACTCGTCTTACCTGGCGCTGCCGTACCAGGCGCTCTTACGGTATCAAGGGAATGAGTCCCGTATTTGTTACTATTTTTGGTATTTTGATACCCAACGTATAGCTTGCCAGGCTTTAAACGTGGGAGCTGGGTACTCACGAGTAGCTTGCCAGTCTCGCTCGGAGGAATGGGAGGAGCTTATTTGTTGTGGGCGACTCTTAACCGTCTCCCATGTACTTCTCAACCGCTTGATTGCAGGCTTTTAGCCGACTTGACTCGTAGAAATAGAGTTTTGTCAAGTTGGCGCTGCGGAAGCAGGGAGCTCATCGCCTAAATCCACCTGCGTCCCTGGGAAGCACACGATCGCTTTTGGCGTTTAATCCCCTGTCCACCACCTGGTGACTCGCCACGTGCCTCGCGACTAACCGAGCGGGATCCTCGCAAAAGGGGGGAGGTCCGTGGGTGTTCCTCTACATACTTCAAATCGATTACTGCGAATATAGGCGTTTGTATATGAACAAGACTGCCAAAAACTGCTAATATTGTGGGAAATGTGCACTTGTAGAAATTCAGAGCGTCAAGAAACAAGGTGATGAGGAAGTCGCGGGTTCGACTACCTACACCAGAACTCGTGTGCATCCAAAGAACTGAACGCCTAGGAACGCCTCAGCTCGGCTAACGCCAACATTGCAGGAAAAGCTGCCATATTGAGCATTCTCGGCATTCATAAATTACACGAAAGCCTCAACCATCAACCGAAGCAACACGTGAAAAGTGAAACACGTGAAAAGTTCGGACACCCTTGTGGACGAAGAATACGAGAAAACAACAATCGAAAAAGTGCTTGGAATCGCACAAAAAAAATGTGATACAGGGTTGTTAGAAGAAAGTCGAGATATAATATAATCATAAATGCTTTGATTTCTATTACTTCAAACTATGGATATCATTTTAGATCTAAATATATACATTTATTCATTTTACAAGTCAATTTTGTAATTTAAGATATAGATAAGATTGTATTCTTACGCAAATATAGAATTTTCTTTTTGTAACAAAAGAAAAATAGCTCAGAAAACCAGTTCAAATTACTGAGCAGTGGTTTTGCAAGCAGTGTACCACCGATGAATTCTACTTCTTTTTCTTGAATCATTATCTTCATTGCATTGCTATAATTTCCTCTAAATTCTCAGTAGCCTAGCAACTGGTTTTTGAATGCATAAAAATCCTCTGAAATCTAATTTATTTGGACAAACGCTGTGTAAGAGTAAAGTCACGCAGATAAAAATATTTTTCAAGTGCATATACACACACGCATATGTATATGAATGCTCAAAAAATAATTACCAGGCATATTAAATTTGAGCTGTGGTTTAAGTAATATCGAAACAAAAAATGTGATATATTGAATACACTAGCCACGAACAATCGAGTGTACAACGCTCTGTGTTCGGTGATAATTTCACTGGACATAGAGTGTAAAACGTTCGTCGTCGCTAACTCTTAGTGTGGGGACTGGAGCATCCACACAAGATTGGCAAAAGACGAGAAAGGGTAACTGCCCGAGTGACGAGATCGCAAGATCGAAACACGTGTATCGGGCTCTATATATCGGCCCTCTTTGATAGACCACTAACATGCGTGGCTCAAAAAATAATTACCAGGTATATGAATGTATATGTACATATATGCATATATATTCATATACACGTGGATATATATATATATATTATATATATATATATATATATATATATATATATGAAACCGTACACTTTACATCGCTGGGTGTATTTTAGCATCATACCACCGCTGAAGGATGTTAAATAAAAAAATTCTGTTACATCATCAATGCCCAATATCTGTCAGCATCAGTGAGTTCAGTGCGACAGCGACCATCCAGGCCACAAAGTTGGCGGTTGCTTGCTGACAGATAGATGCGTTATAGCGTGAAAAGATTGGTGTCAAAACGGGCGTCGGTAGTGCAACGGTTCGAGCACGCGCCCCGGATAAGGTTAAATGTGGGTTCGAGTCACAACTGACGCAAAAGTTTTGCACATCACTCTACATCACTGGGTATATCAAAACGTACACATACATACATACATACATACATACATACATACATACATACATACATAACATACATACATACATACATACATACATACATACATACATACATACATACATACATACATACATACATACATACATACATACATACATACATACATACTACATACATACATACATACATACATACATACATACATACATACATACATACATACATACATACATACATACATACATACATACATACATACATACATACATACATACATACATACATACATACATACATACATACATACATACATACATACATACATACATACATACATACATACATACATACATACATACATACATACATACATACATACATACATACATACATACATACATACATACATACATACATACATACATACATACATACATACATACATACATACATACATACATACATACATACATACATACATACATACATACATACATACATACATACATACATACATACATACATACATACATACATACATACATACATACATACATACATACATACATACATACATACATACATACATACATACATACATACATACATACATACATACATACATACATACATACATACATACATACATACATACATACATACATACATACATACATACATACATACATACATACATACATACATACATACATACATACATACATACATACATACATACATACATACATACATACATACATACATACATACATACATACATACATACTACATACATACATACATACATACATACATACATACATACATACATACATACATACATACATACATACATACATACATACATACATACATACATACATACATACATACATACATACATACATACATACATACATACATACATACATACATACATACATACATACAACATACATACATACATACATACATACATACATACATACATACATACATACATACATACATACATACATACATACATACATACATACATACATACATACATACATACATACATACATACATACATACATACATACATACATACATACATACATACATACATACACATACATACATACATACATACATACATACATACATACATAACATACATACATACATACATACATACATACATACATACATACATACATACATACATACATACATACATACATACATACATACATACATACATACATACATACATACATACATGCATACATACACACCCAAACGTACACGCACATCAAAATGTTTGAGTGTTTATAACTTGTAGTTTTTCGCGGTATAACTAGCGGACTTCGGAAAAGTGTTTCTTCTACTTTTTTGAATTTTATTACATTTTGAACGGATGGCTTATGCAGACAACTTCTACGCAATTTGTGCCGGATGTACTTAATTCAAACGCTTCCGGTAAAGTCGTCATACACCTTTGCACTTCGATTTCGATATCTACTTCATGAATATCCCTTTCCCTCTATGTGTTCCATAATCACAGTAATTTATTCTCACTTTTTGTGGATAAATGAGACCTTCAAATCGATAGTCCCCTGTCGTGTGTTTAACATCCTAAGCAGCCCAGTAGGTAATGGCTCTCGACTATCGGTTGTCGTTGAGGCGCATTACGGATATAACCCACCCTATCTTTTCTGGCTTAGCATGCAGAGCCGCATCTTTGATTTCAACCGTTGACGTAGGTCAGAATTTTGCATCATTTCTCTCCTCTACCATATACGGAACACTTCCAGCATTGAACTTTTGAGTGCACGTTTGGTTGAGTCAAACGAAGTTTTATTCTGCTTGCGTAACGACCAGATCTCTGATGCATATGATGAGGTAAAGGTCATTGTTGGGTCTAAAAGATAGGCATGGAGTCTAGTATCTGTTGCTCCGTTCACTATATCTTCAAACCTTTCAAACGTTGTGCATGCTTTTGCTTACCCCTGATACTAAGCCGTTCATCATATTGACTTATAAGTCTAGAGAGCTTCAGTTGAAGTATTTGGAGATAATTGATTCTTCAAGCATGTATACACTATTCAAAACCTGATCGAGTAGTTACGGACTAGCTGTCCAGAGCTTCTGCGACAACTTCTTCCCAACTGAATCAGAGGTCTACTTTCGAACAATGAAAATGAGACAAAAAGATTTTTGTGATTTCGTGATACTTCGATGAATATTGCAATCATATTGGAGTGCTCTGCAGTACTGAATCCCTTTTGTAGCAACGCTTGTTCACTTAGATGTTCTTCGTTCAGTACTATATCAGTCCTGTTCTGTATGACTAGAGTGAAGAGTTCATGGACGACAGATAACAAACAGATTGAGAGATAGTTGTCAATGTTGTGAAAGTCTCCCTTTTTAGCAGTAACATGGCCTTGCTGATTTTCGATTGTTTAGAAGCATTACATTCTGACAGGCAACGTACGAAGAGCCGAGCCAGTAGATTAATGAGAACTGAAGGGAGGTTTTCCCAGGTTTAAATCGTATCCTACGCAAGCTATGTATTGTTATTGTTCGATTTTTTACCACAAAGTAGATTGTCGAATTTCGGATGGGAGAACCGACAGGACAATAAAATCATCCCTCTTTATCTCAGATGACCGTAAGACAACGTGGCGATCGAAAGATATCCAAGTAGTAATGTGTACAATTTTCTGTAATCTTTTTCTCAAAGTGTAACGGGTGGCGTTCTGGAAGAATCCCAGAGGTAAGAAGGCAAATTTTCTACCCTAGTGTTTGCACTAACTAGGTGAGAGCACCCTAACCCCGATCAAAAAATGTCGCTTTCGACCTGAGTTTTAATCTCTAAAGCCGAAGCCACAAATGAGTTCGGAAACCTCCATCGATGGATATCCATAGATGAAAGGAGACGATGGAGAAAGTGTCATAGCTCGTGTGACATTCAAAGTCAAGTCATTAGAGAATTAGCATGTAATTTTACTTTTGATCATAATTCTACATGCAAAAACAGTATGATAATGATTGTAGGCATAGAAGTATTATTTTCATGCATGCGTACATGGAATGTAATGTGGGTGGCAAATAAAACCAATCTAACCATGACAATAAGAGCGCATGTGGCGCAATGGTTACAGGTGCACTGCGTTGCACATGAGGTCAATGGTTCGATCTCGTGCTCATGGCTCACCTAGCCATCCATCCCTCCGAGATCGGTTGATTGGTACCAGACAGGTCTCAGACTTGTCTGGGAGGACAAGCAGCACTGACTCGGTACACCAGTAGGCCACCGCGAGTCATTGTTCAAGGTCAAGTATGAATAAGTCACCTTAAACGAAGTGGAACATTGAAGACGAATGCCCTCGGGGATTGATCAACGCCGAGAGCTTTATTTTCGTCCTTCAACCAAGACAATACTGTGAAGCCGGCCTGTTGCAGAAGATAATCAAAATAAACGATTTCACATGAGGGGTCCTGTATGTAGCACTATTACGTGGATTCGTATTGTCAGTAAACTCTACCATGCCTATGATTTCGGCAGTGCAATCGGAAACCTGGCCAAGAGTAGACTAATACTTTATGGCAACGGTCTGCAAGCTATCTTTGATTACTTACTTCACTCAAGCAGTGGAAATTGCATCATGTTGACAGTGTGATAATTCATGTCTCCATTTTTTTTTGCATCATTTCGTGTACTGACTGACACGGACTTCGTGGCCTTTGCTTTAATAGGTTATATCAAACAACGCTATTCTGCAGGTGAAACATTACCCTCTTCTCTATAATTCTCCATTAGATATCTCTGAAATCAGTTCCAATTTATCTCACTTTTTATGTATGTTTTGACACAAAAATATTTTCGATTACCATAATGACATATTCAAAAGCAGATTCTGGAAACTTGCACTTATATACCTATACACGTGTGCACGTTCTCTTCGCACAATTAAATTATAACATAAAATGTGTTTTCAATGAATTTTGAAGGACAGGACTGTGAATATCAAACTAATAAGTTCTGCACATCTGCTTCTGCAGATCCGAACCCAAACGTGGTGCGGTCAAACAGCTTGCAAAATTAATTATATGTGAGGACAAAAAAAGCAAATAAGAGCATCGTCGAGAAAATCTTTGCATTGAAGATGCCGGGTATGCTCAGAGAACTTGGTGTATGCATCTCAATCATTTCACAGTGCCTCAAAAAGACTGGAAGAGTGAAGAATAGTGACAAATGCGTGCTATACGAACTGAACGGCAAACAAGAAAATCACTGCTTGAGGTATTGTCGATGCTTCTTTTGCGCCGGCAGAGCTACCTGTTTCTTGATTTCACGCTTCCAGGCGACAATAATAGATTCTCCGCGACAACCTAAGGAATTTACCTCAATGGTTTAAAGATCTCCAAGACGTTAGCCATCAAATTTTCAGAGAGTAGAAATACCATATTTGTGCAAGTTTTAGTTGAACAAGAGGACAATTTCCTCAATGATTGGGCAACAGTGGAGCTACGCACCTCTTTGCAAAACGGAAATTGCAAAAATTATTGTAATGCCGACCATGAAATTTTTTGCTGCTGGTTTAATCCATCAAAGCATCTGGATCTGGGTGGAATGATCACGGCGCAAAAAAAAACTCCCAGGGTCATAACACTAACCTTCTTCATAAATTTTTTCAAAATGTTCGAAGCCCTGCGCGACGTTGGTACGCCAGGGCTATACACGCGTGTTTCGGAGGTCTCGCTCCTCTCGCCAGTAGCCCACGTCCCACATTAAGCCTTGAATTGTAGCAAGGAAGGAGGAGTATGTGGTGACGGCAGAGTGTATAGTAACACTGTGCCATCACCACTTCTTAGACGATGGATCTCGGCTAGTAGAACAAAGTTGATCCATGGCATTGGCTGTTTTAAGGAATTGACTCATGGCATCGACTCGTAATAAACATTCTATACAAATTTCTAAGAATGT